AGATCTAAATGAGTGGAAATAGAGAACAGGGAAAGAGGATGCATTTATTTAAAATATACAGTGGATAATTGATTTTTCTGTCAATAAGGAAAAGGATGAATGGATGCTTTCAGGAACTTGAAAGGTGGTGCATAGATTTAAATTTGCCTTTCTACTAGTACTTTTAGTCAAAAGGATGACTGGCAATTGCCATGGTCCTTCAATATACCTCCTTTGAGGTTTGGAATACTCCAGGGACTATGGAATAAATGTTATTTTTCTGCCCAACCCCTGCTTTCCTTTCTTGTTAATGTTAGTCTTGTTTTCCTTTGATGAACTAGCTTCACCCCTCCCCACTCCTCATGGCTCTGGATCTAGGGATATGACCTAGATTTCACAAAGCAAATTACTGCATTATCTGGCCTCTGTGATTAGTTTAAAAAGCAAAGTGATGTGCAATCCAAGCATGCAAGGTAGGTATGGGAATTTCCATGATGTCACGCTATAAGAAGTCCTCTCTGAAGCACTGAATGAGGAAGGATATAGGTTTGGCATTGCTAGGGGCCATTGCAGAAGCTTGACAATGAAGTCAACTGTAAGCATCAGAGTTTGTAGAGTAGTGTGTGTGTGTGTGTGTGTGTGTGTGTGTGTGTGTGTGTGTGTGTGTGTAGGGAGAGAGAGAGAGAGAGCAAGAGAGAGAAAAAAAGGACAGTGGAGAGAGAATAATAACATTGAGGACCTTGGACCAGCTGTCCCTGCATGTAATCTCCCCACGGACTTCCTGTTTAGATTACCTAATTGTTTGTTTTTTTTCCTCCCCCCCCCTTCCCCATTTCTCTTTTTCCTCTTAATCCAGCTTTAATTGGGTTTCTTCCTCTTGAACTTAAGCATTCTCAGTAACCAGGAGTTGTAACATCCCCTCCCCCAGTCCAGAGGAAACAGGAAAGTGACAAAGATAAAAGTGTTGCCTGTGGGGGGAAAAGTGATTCCCGACTTGCTTTGTGGAAAATGGCTTTAACCTTGTACATGTCCTGGCAGGAGCAAGTTACATTTTACACAAGGGAAAGGCTACGCTGCCAAGATAGTTGCTGTCAAAGAAGGATGGATGTAGGAACTTTGGGCATGTGAATAGGTTGGGGAGAGTAGGAAATCAAGATGGCTAGAACGTGAGGTTTTAGCCTTCAGGTGACTTGCTGCCAGCCTCAGAACATAGATTACACAGACCATCAGAAGGTTGCCTGGGGTCTTTATTACTGGTTTCTTTTGATGGTTCCACTTGCATAATTATTATTCTGGAGGCTCTGGAAATCTTCGTACAGTACTAGGTTATTTCTCATTTTTATTTTTCTTTTATTTTTTATCTATTTTTTAAAACACTTTCGTATTCCAAAGACACTGTCTGGATTTGTGTGCAGCTTAAGTCACTAAACTTCAAAGAATCTGTGTATCTGGAGTAGAGATGTGTTGCAGGGAGGAGGGATGCTGTAACCCTGGTTGGAATTTTCAAACCTGGAAGTGTAAGTTCTCTGCATAAAGAGAAGGAGGGTGTGATTTCAGTGCTTGTGTTGTATTAGGAAGAGCCTAAGAGAGAAAAGTACATAAAGCTGGTCAAAGGTTTCCTCATGGGCTGGTTAATTGCCCCTCTTCTTGGTCCTCATTCCCCAATTTCTGTGCTCTGTTTTGGACTAAGGATGGAAACCCAGCATTGGAAGACTTGTTTTCCTTGAATCCCTTACCTGTTGATAGTTTATGCCAATGGAGACACTGGTTTAGGTAGAAAGTTGGAGGGGAAGAGAAGGAATCCTTTTCCTGTTTCTAGCTTCCATCTGCTTTCCTCTAGCAATAATGAGCTCATGGATGACATTCTACCACTTGAGCTATACCTCTACCCTAGAATCTTCTTGGTTAATGGAGATAGAGTCATTCAGCCTTTTCTGCTTGAACTAGCTTCAAGCTTCGATCCTCTAGATTTCAGCATCCTGTGTAGTTAGGATGACAGATGTGAGCCACTAGCTCCATGCTAAGGCCTTCCCTTGGAGTACACATCATAGGGCGTTGTGATAGTGTTTATCTATCAGCCTGGGATTAGCCTGCAGCATGAAATCAAAATCTAAAACAAAGAAGGTATGCTCAATGCATATTGAAAGGAGTATAGAGAAGGTGTTTGCATTCTCTAGCCTTTGTGGTAGGCATAGAAGGTAGAGTTCTTGCGAGCCTTTGAAAATAGTTAAAAACCATCATTTTTCAGTTCCACCCTGGAGAGTACATGGCTCTGGAATTAAATCCACTGAGTGCATATTTTGGGCGAAGTGAAAAGCATCAAAATGGGCAGGTGAATTGATAACAGACAGGAGCAGATGGTGAAGAACTATCCAGGGACAAGGGGCAGAAGTGACTAGATATTCTCTGGGCATTGTTTCTCTACAGCCTCTCTGTAGTCATAGATGTGACCCAGAGACTACCATTTAGCACAACTTTTGTTTTTTAGTTTTGATGCTTGAATTGCCCCCCTGAAAGTGTATGCATTCTTGATTTAACCACCACAGCCAGATAAGAAAAAGAGTTGAAAGGCGGCCACATCAACAGGAAATAAAACATTTTTATTGAATATCGTGTAATATGTTAAGTCATTTTTAACAACAATCAGAAAACTACTGTGGGATTCACTACACAAAGTGAAACAAAATTTAAACCACCTCATCAAAATAAAAGGTAAAATACAGCTAAAGTAGTTGGCTCGCGGGTCACGAGCCATATGGCAGAAGAAAACACCCCAACATTTCTACAAGACACAGAAAAACCCACACATAGAAACACTCAAGCAGGCAGTAAGTATACACAAAGGCAACTAGGATCTTTCTAGGGCATCAGACTCTAACACTTTACACAGCTTTGTCAGAAAGGTACATGTGGCTTCTCTGAGGATGAATCTTGGTCATAAAACAGGTCCAGGCAACCGACTCGTGGAAGATGAGATAGTACCGACTAATTCTATGGTGAAATCCCATGTTGGCAGTGTTGGAAGAGAATATGTTAGTAGTACTTTAATGGAGGCTATAATGTCGGATCGGTAGCTGGACCCTGCTTATTTGAAAGTGTTGTTTCATGGAGAACAACTTAAAACTGAAACCAGTGAGATTAGATGTAGGTTTGTAGTATTTAAGGAATTGTGAAAAATCTACTTTCTCTCTTTGGTTGGGTTTGGTCCTTGAACTTGGAAAGAATTTTGAATTTTCTGTCCAATGTGATGTTTAAGCAGACATTATGCAGTGTGTACTTTCCATTACCTGTCATGTAAGAAAGTGAATATATCTCTGGAAGAAGGAGATACATTCTTCTTTCGTCTTATGCGTTCATTGCATTCATAGCTGAAAGACGAAAGGGCTTTCCTCTCATTGGATGAGGAGAGGAAAATGTCAGGTATCCTGGTTTTATTGAGAAACAGCTAACCCTATGTTTAAAGTCTACCATGGTCCCTTTGGGAATTCCCTTGAGTTTTGTCATAAATATGGAGTGATATACTAAAGAGCAAATATCTTAGGTTTCTTCCACGTTAGTTGTGAGAAGGTCAACTCGCACTTCAAGACATCACTGCTCTCTGTGGCCTGTGAGTTAAAACAGGGCACACCAGTGAGTGGAGGAAATGACTGAAGCAGTGTGTCCTCCTGGGAAGTGGTTGTCTGTCTACCAGAGTAGGGACAAATATGGAAGAGTGCACAGTGCTTGACAAACGCTGTGGGTTGTACTCCATTCTGTGTATCTTTCTTGTCCTATGCATAGCTTTCCAGTTCTGAATTGGTCCTTTGTAAATGAGAACTGTTTGTGCTACACACACACACACACACATTGGGCAGTGCAGTAGAAGGGAATGGCAGTATTGTTACAATATCACTACGGAATAAGTTGAATGCTATCCACTGAGGAAACTACGTGTCTAAGCACACACGGCAGTCACAGTGTTACACAGAGCAGTCCTGTAAGACTCTTATGGAATGACTAGTAGCTTCATAATAGTGCCATTTACTACATAATAACATTGAAAACGTTGAAAAACTCTTCCTAAATCAAGCATCTAGTATACATAAGAGGTTGCTTCTTTTATCTAGAACTTGTTCTTGGTTTTGTTTCACCTTTGTTTAAAGGACAAATTAAAACTTATTTAAGTAAAAAGAGCATATAAAAAAGATCACTAGCTGTCTGTTTTGGCTTAATTGAAGTGCATTCAGAACTATGGCTAATTCTCTTTCTTTTTCATCTTTTGATGGGATTACAATACTGTCTGTTTACCACAAAGTAACTTCGTGTAATAAACACAGATTGCTGTGTTAAAAATATTCTGCATTCCTTCTAATCTGGTTTTGTATAGTAAAATATTTTGTTACAAAGTCTAGTTGTGCAAACCTTTTGGAATCATTATAAGTGTGAAATCTGGACCAGAATTCACGGAATGCACATTTTGTATAAATGTGATAACGGAGAGCTATTGTGTAATTTTAACTAGTCAGGCAATATTTCAGAAATGCTGACTCCTCAGCTTCTCCTCCCTCGCCCCATCCCTAAACAAATGCATGCATCGCTCTCTCTTTCTCTCTCTTACACACATATACACACACATGCACTCACGCGCGTGCGCGCGCGCACACACACACACACACACACACACCACCACCACCACCAACAACAACAACTACAACCATTGTGTTGTTACTCTATATGCAGTAGTAGGAATTCATTGACTCCTGTTCAGTTGCCCCTCAACTATAAGAGTGCAGCCATGATTCTAGCTTTGTAGGAACATATAAACAGATGCTAATCTGCTTTGTGGCTATGCTTCCTTGATGTCAGCCTAGATGCTGCTCAGATCGTGCTATTTTGCCTGTGAAGGAATTCTACCAAATTGGACTCACCCACCAAATATGTGGTGCAAGTATTGATATTCAAATGATTCAATAAAGCTCAGGTTTAAGTTGTCCTTTAAGATGTCTGTAAGTTGAACTGTACTAGTGCTTTACAAGTTGATATTTTTGCTGGAATGCAGACCATACTCTATTTACCATATAATATATTATCAGCTCTCCTATATCTCAGTCAATTTACATAGTTTAAAATAGAACATCTTATTAAAAACATCTAGATATACACAGATTAGGAAACGCTTACAACATACAAATACACAAACTAGAAATAAATCTTTAGCATACTGGTATATACAACGGTGTGATACAATAAATAATTTCAGTCATGCTCTATCTACACATCATATTGCTTAAAAGAAGAGTTGATTTGGAGGGCAGTGGCAGGATGAAGGGCATAGGGGCTCTCTACACTTAAATTTGTGCAAATTAAATCTGAAGTACCACTGAATTGTGTTAGGAATGCATGGCTGGAAAAATGAAAGGACCCATATTACTGAGGTATTTACAGATACTGGCTAAAGAGCACTATGTGGGCAAATGCAGAAAGGCTTCTTCTTCCCTCTACTTCTTGACTGCCAGCATGGCATCCACTTCCTCCTCTACCTGTAGAGTGTGCCACTGGGCAATGGGTCGCCTGGGGTTAGCCAGCATGTCTGACCAGTGTCGCAGCTCTGCGCCGGTGCTGTTGTAGCCCACAAAGACTTTGCCGATGGCATCGTTCTTGCCAATCTTGTCATAGTCCAAAACAGTTACCACCACTTGCACTTTCTGAAAGAGGACACAGAATGAATATGAATTACATTGCTCTAGATGAAGCTCCATGACAAGCTTCTGTGGGATCTGAGGACTCAAAATAAGAAGCACGGACCCCTAACTACCACGAGGAGGCTGAGGAGGACTTGAGTATGAAAGCTGGAGTCCAATCTTTATGTTCCCACTACATTTTAATCATCAGCATCTATCTTGTCATTGCCACTAACCGTTTAAATGCTGATTTTATTACACAGTTCACATTTCCCTACTTTCTATATGATGTTCACTATTTCTTAGTCATCTTGCTAGTATATGCATAAGGATGTCAGAAGCTAAAAGGCATTACTTCACCTGACTTAGCTTGCATAAGGAACGAGTGGGTTGTTTTCCAGGGTCTGCACATCACTGTTCATGCTGACTTTGGCAAAATCGGTGACCTCTAAATTTATAGTTTCATCTGTCTCATCAGTGAGAGCTACACCATTGCTCAGGCCTTTTTATTATTTTATTTTATTGTTAAACTTTCCAAAGTAATCATGTGCTATTATAATTTCATTTCAAGATGCAATCACCAACATTTTACTAAAACTAATATGGGATTTCAGCTAACCAAATATATATATATTGGTCGTGGGGTTTGAACTCTGGGCCTGGGCACTGTCCCTGAACTCTTCAGCTCAAGGAAAGCACTCTACTGCTTGAGCCACAGTGCTGCTTACAATTTTCTCGTGGTTAATTGGAGATAAGAGTCTCATGGACTTTCCTGCCTGGGCTGGCTTTGAACCACAATCCCCAGATCTCACCCTCCTGAGTAGCTAGGATTACAGGGGTGAGTCACTGGAGGCTGGCTCATATGATGATTTTGAATATAAAATATAACATCATGGTGAATGTCTTTAAAAAGTAGTCACTAAAGATTTTTTTTGCTTCAAGTTTATATTTTCTTAATGAACATTTATTAGCTACCATGTAGCCAGCATTGCTATCAAGTAGATAAAACTTTTCACAAGATTTACCTTAGTGACTTCAGCAGATTGTGAATGTTGTGTAATAATGTACTTTTTTGGATTGAATGAATAGATGAAGGCAGACTTATAGAAAAATACATTATTTCAAAGCAGATTTCAGGTCTGTTTCCTAAGTAATGAATTTGCTGAGTCAGAATATGTGATGGATCCAATATAGAAAAGAGATAGAAAATTAAAAGGAGATAGAAATAAAATGGATACAAAAAGTTTGTGGTCAGAGGAGGGAACAGAAAATGAAGATCCCATTGAGTTCCAGGCGCTTCGGTGGATTTTGTTCTCTGAGTTATAGAACCAAAGTATTGAGAGAGGTCACTGATGTTAATCTCCTGTACAAAGACAGCAATCACTTCTGCATGCAGCACACTGGCAATAAAAGACAGGCTTTATTATTAATAATTTACCTATCCAATGGATGGTGTATAGGACTACAAACAAATGAGTGTGTAATCACACTGCAGTGTGATTGAATGGGATGAAGATGGCATGCCCAAAGTGACAGCAATGTTCAGAGTTTAGGAATAAACCAATTAATGTCGCTCCAGATGGAATATCCTGGGATTGATTTGCCAGTGGCATGTGTCTAATGCTCTCCCAACTGAGCTATTTTGGCAACCTCTTGTATTTTGTTTCTATATTGTGGAGTGGTGCTGGAGGTAACATTTTCATGTGCTTTGGGGAATCATGACATATTTCTCCATCCAGATTATATTCAGAGGGTTCAGGAAAGCAGAAAGATAGATAATCTGAAAACTTCAGGACAAAGGAAATCTAAACTCTTGTTTTATCACACAAAATAGTTTCTCTAGGGAAATTTGAGGACTAGGAAAGCAGCATTCAGGGACAAACAGGAACAAAAGGTTGACACAAGGGGTGGAGAAAGCCAGAGAGAGCTATCTTGTCTCCATGCCTTATGGGCTCAGGTTCATTTGATCTCCTCTGAAACCTATACTTCAAATAAATTATGCCAGGAAACACCAAATTTGCTCTGTGTTAATGTGTTTCAGTTTCAGTATGTTTGTAGTTTCTAAAATTTGTAGTTAGCATTTTTTAAAACAATACCTAAAATTATAGCTCAAAGCAGGAAGATTAGAATTTTTATTTCAATGCTCTGCCTTGTATTGTTTTGTGGAATTAAAAAAATAATAGCAGGAGGTAATGATTTCCATAGGAATAAAGTCTTAGAACTCAAGAGTTCACTGGACACATGCTGCAAAAATTAATGATTTGAAACAACTGATGTCTCAGGAGAAAACTAATGTCAATGGGTTCCATAAGGGGTTCAGGGTGTTAGGTTTAAGTACTGAACAAAAGACTGGGAACAGGGATTCGGTGCTTTCTGTGATGACACTAATATAACATATATTCAAAGGAAATAAATAAGTATGAATATGGGGCAAAGGTAAAAATGTATATGTGAAAGCTTAAAGGAAAACCATGAACTAATGGAAGGATGGTGGAGTCCCTACTTATTTTGGTCATTTCAAACTGCCCTATATAATAAAGTATATAAAAGCAACAGTTTAAGTTTAGTGCTAAATACATTGAAATTACATGATGTTTCTCATTAGCCATTTGTACTCATTAGCCATTTGTAACGGCCATATTGAGTATCCATGATATTGAGTATCATGGATGATAAATCTTTCTATAAACACAGAAACTTCCACTGGCCAGCACTGATTTATGTATCATCGCATTTTTGGATTTATTTAATAAAATGTTAATTTGGGAAGTGATGACATTAGCATTGAGAATAATGATGTTTTGAATCTTGTATTGAGTGCTCTTGAGCTAGGCTGCGCCTAACATTTTATGTATGACCTTACTTAGACATAAATTCTGTTAGTACTCCTGTTTTATTTATGAGGGAATTCTAAGGCCATACTTATGTATAAAATTGGGATAATAATGGCATATTTCTCATAAAGTTATTAGAAGGATTAGATGAGATTATGTGTGTGAAGTGCTTCATAGCCATCACATAAAACAAGCCAACATATTATCTTAGCTTTCTCTGTGGAATGAAAGTATGATTCATCCATTAGATGCTATATTTTAAAAAACAGATTAAAAGTAAATAAATAATTATGCATTGACTTTTGCTATTCTGGACCTTTAGATGGTCTCATGTTTTAGTTTTCCTGTCTACACTTTATTTCTCCTTTGATACAGGCAGTTTCATGTCATGGAAAAATAGACTCGCTTCAATTAGTTCTTAAAGTGTAAAAATTATGTTGTTCTATGCCATTGAATTCCCTGACACTTAAAGACTAGCAAAACATAGTCCATAACTACTAGATATGAACTTCGAATTCTGAGAGTCTCTCTCTCTCTCTCTCTACATACATACATACATATATATGTATATATATAATTTTTGTTGGTTATGGGTTTTGAACTCAGGGACTAGGTGCTGTCCCAGAGCTCTTTTGCTCAAGGCTAGTACTCTACCACTTTGAGCCATAGTGCCACTCCTGGTTTTCTGGTGGTTAATTGGAGATAAGAGTCTCAGAGACTTTCCTGCCTGGGCTGGCTTTGAATGGCAATCCTCAGATCTCAGCCCCCTGAGTAGCTAGGATTATAGGTATGAGCTACCAGCACTCAACTCAGTTCAATGTTCTTAAATCCCTAAAATCATGTGCTATCCTGGTGGCTATTAACTAGCAGCTTGTTTTCACTATATCAATCACAAGATCTTTTAGTAGGATACTTCAGACCTTAACAAAAAATATATGTCTAACTCAAGTCAGATATAGAAAGGTGAATTCCAAAGCTGAATTAAAAATACATCCCTAGTATATTGTTTTCTGTTTTTACTTATCTTCTAATAAGGCATATTCAGTATCAACCTCTATATTTTTTTTCCTTCATTTTTTTGTGCTAGAGATATGGTAAGAAATGTATTGATGGCCTGGGAGTGAGCAGGGCAAGCTTGCTTCTTTTCTTGGCTTTTCAACTTCATAGATGGACTTTGTGAATTAAGACTGTTGTTTGATTGACTTTCCTTTACTTCCTCTTATGTCTGCTCAATAGAAGACCAGAAGTTTTTTTTTTTTCCTGATGAATCAACGTATTCTGTGGTTTACATTTTATGACATCTCTCTCCATCTAGCTCAGTCATCAGATGTGCATGGGAATAAAAATGACAGCTCTAATGAAGGCCTTGGCACTGGTAATTTATAAGGTTTCTGTGTATAATTTATGTGACCTGAAGGAATAAAATTGAGAGGACAAATTTATTTCTGACATTACCTGGATTTGCTCAAAAGGAACTTCAAAACTGAATGACTCATTGTAGTAGGGGTTGAGAGTGTTCTTCTTAATGGTTGTCTTTTTCTTCTTCAGCCTCTTGCCATTTTGCATCAGATGAATCTTGACATAAGGATCTGAAAAACAGTAGCAAAATCTTTAAGAGCTCAAAGACACATAATTTAGACCATGATTTAGCTTATAAAGGACAGACATTGGTGAGCATGGTGATGCATGGCTGTAATCCCAGACTTAGGTGGTCAACACAGGAGTATTGTAAGTTCCAGGCCAGCCTGAGCTACATAATGAGACACTATCTCAAAAACAAAAGCATAAATAAAAGATAAAAAAGGTAAGGTGAATAAGGTCTAAACATTTCCATGAGGTAAATAACTATATAACATTATAACATGTACCTAGTATTTTTTTTTTAATGTGAGCACTTTTTAGGGAAAGATTTGAAGTAACCCATTGGCTATGCTTTTTTTTTTTGTCATGGAAAATGAATATTTCAAGTTCGTTTTAGAGATGAGAACAGTTGTGTGTTGGTAAACCAGGTCTTTGGAAAAATATCTTGACGTGTAGCATTTGCGGATTTCTGTGTTTGCCACAACTGATTTCAAGCCACAAATAGTTTAACAACCAGCTTGTAAAGTCCTTGAAAATCCAACAATTGGTTTTTGTGAGCTGGCAGAGAGTCTTGTCCATAGCACCCCAAAATATGGAAAAAAAAACACAGAGAGAAGACAAAAGACCCATTTCATGAGTTCATTTATTCATTTACTCAACCAGGGGCCATTGAGCACCCAGGATGTGATAGGAACTGGGAGCTGTGAGGAGACCATTTCTGTCTTCACAATGGACCTGAAAATTTGCATGGAGAAATGGACAATAAATTAACTTATAAAAAAATGAAGGACACATGAAAGTAGAAGTCAAGAGTGCTGTGGAAGAACAGACCAGAGTAGTGATCTCCTGGAGAGGAGCAGGGGTGGTTTAGTGAGTAAAAGGTAGGGAGGAAGTTGTTAAACTACTCAGGTAAGGCCTCCCTGTGGAGGTAACATGAGCTGAGAGGAGAAGGTGGAAGGGAGCTATAGGTATGTGTATGCATGTGATAGACCCATGACGGGGAGTGGAAAGAGACACAGAGACAGAGACAGATCTATACACACAGAGAGACAGAGGAAGGCAGAAACAGAGAGATAGAAAGAGACACATCTACACACACACACACACACACACACACCAGACAGAGTCACAGACATAGAAACAGACACACAGAGACAGAGTCACAGACAGTCAAGGCAGTCAGAGACAGACACACAGAGCTCAGAAAGACAGAAATAGATCTACACAGAGAGAGAGACACAGAGAAACAGGAGATGTGGAAAAAAAGAGGTAGACCTATACATACAGAGACAGAAAGAGGGAGAACATATATATATATAGTGAGAAACAGAGACAGAAAGAGAGACAGAGCAATGCAGAAAGAGACAGATCTACACACACACACACACACACACACACACACACACACACACACAGAATTTCTTTCAAGTATTCAAGAAAAAAAAATAGGCCTGTTGTACATAGAGGAAAAGGAGTAAAAAGAGTCTCTGAGCATTTCCCTTTAATCCTCATTAGGCAAAGGTAAAGTTATTACTTTACCCAGTCACTGGAGGGGTGAGGTAGCTCCAGTTACTAATGGATGAATGACATACCTCAGGGGCTTGGGACACTCTGTCTAGAAGGGAAAGGGAAATCTCTCTATTGTTTTTCTTAAGCACTTTCCCATTTCATATGTAATGCATGCTATACATCAGAAGGCAGTGATTAACAAAAAGAAATAAAATCATCCAAAATAAGGCTAAACCTTCAAGATACTTTTTCTCTTCTTAGAACATGAAGAGTTGGTAGAAATATTACAGACAATATAATGCCCACATAATTTCAGAAAACTGCAGATAAAAAAGTTGTTTTGATCTCCTCCTTCTTTTCCCTCAGAAGACTAGAATTCCTCAAGGGCAGAAACACTGACATAATTACTAAAAGAACTCATTAAAATAGTGATTGGCATATACTAAACATTTTGGAATGCACTGGGATTGAACTCAGGGCTTTGTACACACTAAGGATATAGTGACCACAAGCTACCACACCCAGCCCCATATTAACTTTTTGTTGGATAACTAAGTGGAATTTATCTAGGACCTCATAATCAAGTCTTCTAAATCTCAGTCCAGTCTTCTACCCATTGCCTTAGAGCCCACATTACTTAGATACATGTGTTTTGGGGATTAAAAAAAATCAGTGCCATATCCCAAGTCTTCAATTGCTTCCCTGTTTTCTCTGTTCTCCATTTTCATCTGTCCCTTGACTGGCTCCATTTCCTCAGTGTTTTCTAGTTTGTTCATTGTGTTGAATGCTGCTCTTTTTGCAGGAAGCTCTAATCCCTTGCCTTGCTCATTAGTAACTTTTTCTGAGATCTGTACTTCACTTCTGTCTCTCTAACCACAGACTGAGTTGTCAAAATGGAAGTCTACCCAACTCAAGATGAGTCATATATATATCAAAGATCATCTCTCCTGCCTTTGGTTTTAAATTTGTTCTCTTGTTCATTCCCAGTTCCTTGGTGGCTTAGAAGTCCTGATAAAATAGATTGTGATGAGACCTGTTAATGTTGCTATTGCTTTTCCTGTGGCTCATGGCATGTAACTCTCCCTTACAGTTCTGGAAACATGTAAATATCTCAGCAAAGTATCAAGCTACAAAAGTGGCCCACTCTCCTCAGGCGTCTGTGGCTCTGTGGCTTGTGGATTCCTTCTGTTCCCCAAAGCAAGCCCTCATGGAAATCTCCCTCCTCTAAATATTGACAACCCTTCCTTAAACACCATTTAGATAATCCCTGCTATCAGCAAAACAGGCATGAGGTTTGTGATGCTTGACTTCCTTTGTGTATTTCTCTTAAAAATAGTAGTCTAGTTTTTAAACTTTGGTAGATAGAAAGATCTCTCTCTTTTTCTGATATCTGTCACTTTTCAGATCATAAAAATCATAAAGTGGGATCAGAAAGAAGATTCTGCACTCAATATAACAGTGAATGGGTCTTCTTGGCTCATTTGGTTTTGATATCCATGTGTCACACTGCCATCCTTCACCCACCATTGCCACCATTGTCAGGCTTTATGCTTGAAATCAGGTTAGCTGGACTTTCCTTTCTGTCATAATAGCTATTCTAACTTGGAGGATTTTCAGGATACTGTAATGAGATCTCTTTCAAACTTACATGTTGACAAACCTTTTTAACATACCAGATTGGGATTTTTGCTCTTATTACTCATAATCATGGTAGGCAGAAGAATAGCTCTTCCAAAGATGTCACATTTAATCCTTAGAACCTGTGCATATTTAATATGGTAAAAGGACTGTACAAATGTGATTAAGGGTAAGGACTTTGAGATGTGATTATGCCAGAATATCCAGGTTCTAGTCACATTAGTACTTGAAAACAGAACCTTTTTCTAGCTACAGTCAAAAAGAGATGTGACAATAGAGGAGCCAGAGTCATGCTACATTGCTCCCTTTGAAGAGTAAAGAAGGGGCTACAAGTCAAGGGGTATGGATGGCTTTTAAAAGACACACACACACACACACACACACACACACACACACACAAAGGCTTACCTAAAGCCTCTGATGGATACCTTGGTTGAGAAATACGTAAGATTTCTCTTGGAAAAAACTTTCAAAAGTTAGCTTTTTGTCTGACAAACATTATAGACATCTATCATGTTTAAAAATGTGTATGGACATGGAATGGTTACAATCAAGCTAATGAATATAAAGGGCGCCATCTCATATGCTAATTCTTTTGTAGTAGGAACACTTAGTGTCTATTAACAACTTTCAAAGATAGAAAACTTTGTTATTCAAACCGTAGTTACCAGGTTTTACAATAGAGCTTTTGAACTTATTCTTCCTATCTAATTGAATGTGTCAGATTTTTCTCACCTATAGAGCTATGAATAATAAGTATGTGTTGCTTTATCACTAAGTTTGTGATAATTTGTCACAGCAGCAATGGAAAACTAATAAAACTATCAAGTTTGAAGAGCGGAGTCTAGTGTTAAACAATGTGTAAGGATGAGCCAAGTTTTTTTTTAATTGTCAAGGTGATGTACAGAGAAGTTGCAGTTACATAAGTAAGATAGATAATAAGTACATTTCTTGCCAAACTTGTTACCCCTTCCCTCATTCTTCTTCTACTTTCCCTCCCCATCAAAGACCCCCAAGTTGTACAGATCATTTCCAACATGTTGTCTTGTGTATATTGCTGTTGCATTGGTTCCCCCCTTGTCCTTTGTCTCACCATTGTATTGCTCCCCTTCCCTTCCCATATATACAATACCAGAGTACCAAAATCAAATACAGTGACAACAGGGGTCATATATATATTTTATATATATATATATATACACACACACACACACCACAGTGGGGGAAGAACATACAAAAGAAACAATAAATCACATGGCACATTAAAAACAACAGCAACAAAGAAAAACCTCTTGTGTCCATGTCTTGGAGTTCATTTTGCTTAGCATCCTTTCATATGGTCATTTGTACATAGCTTTTGATATGTGTTAAATGTTATATATATATAAATATATTGAAATATTTTTAGTCCTACGACAATCCCAGTGAGGAAACTGAGTCTAAGAGAGGCTGATTCCCCCCCCCAAAACCTAATCTCCAAAGAACTTAATTACATATTTCCTGTCTCCAAGCCTTCTGTGGTCTGTTGGGGAGACAGTTTATGTAGTGTTTACAAGCACAAATGTTATACCCAGACTAACTTGGACCTTGGCTCCACTTCTCACATCTGTACGGTCTTAAACCAAGTTATTTAACCTCTTTGTACCATTGTTCCTTTAATTATAAAGGCACAGGAGTGAAAACAACTAGTTCATAGAGCTGTAACACTTAAATTGTGTTAGAGCATGGCAAGTGTGTCAAAGTGCGGCTGCCTCCTATTTTTAATTAGTGTGATAGTCTGGTGCAAGGGATAGCATTCAAGGCAGCCTCCGTGGACCAGACTCTCCTCCAGCTCACTCTGCTGACCTGGTGCCCACCCTCA